TTTAGTTGTTTGGGCCTGATTAGGGGCCTACCAAAATAATGGGATGATGAGATGTGGAAGATAATTTTGTAGTAATTGTGACTTATGGTAAGAAGTTATAAGAAGTCATGTATTCATCAGGGTTTTACCAAAAAAACAAAAAAAAAATAGTTATGCATCAGGGGTTAGTTAAAGTTGGCATATTGAATTAATGTCTTTTGAAAGTTTACAGTCTTAATTAATAAGTATAAAAGTTTAAATTCATAATTAATAAAAGTATGAAAGTTTGTATCTTTCTCTTTTAAAAGTATTCCTGAGAGTCTTGAAAAGCTAAAAAAAAGTCATTTTTTTTTATCAGCAAGAAAAAGTTATCTATTCCTTAGTGGCAAGGATTCGAAAGTAATGTTCCTGGCAATCTCGAAAGAAAAGTCGATCTTTTTTCATCAGCAAGAAAAGGTTATCTATTCCTTAGTGGCAAGGATTCGAAAGTAATGTTCCTGGCAATCTCGAAAGAAAAGTCGATCTTTTTTCATCAGCAAGAAAAAGTTATCTATTCCTTGGTAGCAAGGATTCGAAAGTAATGTTTCTGGCAATATCGAAAGAAAAGAGGCTGGTAGCATTTTATATTGGTTAAAACTCTATTTTGACCCTTCTACTTTAGCAAAAAACAAATTTTATTTTTCTATCTAATAAATTTTTTTTTTTAGTTCTTGAAATTTTTTATTTAATCATTTTTTAGTTCCTTTGTTATCTTTATAATAGAAATTTTAAAATAGAGGAATTAAAAAAAATTCTTTTTTGGTTTCTCTATCTTAAAAAAAATCCCTTTTTAATTCTTTTATTTCAAATATCTATCATTTAATATATTATGTATGTAAAAAAATAACAGAAGAATTAAAAAAAAGTCTAGTAATACTAACTACTTGTTAATCTTAATAAAAAGAGTTTAATTCCTCTTAAATAAGATTTCGAATTTAATTTTTGTGAATGAAGGAACAAACGTTTGAAGAAACAAACGTTTGAAGAGTTTCCTTCTTAATGGGGTCCGATGTAATTTGATTCCAAATCAATAAAGATTTAAAGTGATTATCAAATATCGAAAAGTTAGTACAAAAAAAAAGAAAAAGAGATCTAATAATAAATTTTGTGGGACTAAAAAGAAACTTTTTTAAGTAGAAGAACTAAAAAGAGATTTTTTTATTAAAATAAAAAAATCAAAGTGAGATTTTAACCTTTTATGATGGTTGGGGTTAATTGAATTGTTAAAGGCAAATAAAATTCGCATTGAACAAAAGTAAGACATTAATTTATTGAACGAAAATAAAAGAAGAGCCGACTTGGTTTAAAAGATAAAATACTATGATGCACAACTCACTGTAAATAACATAGTCTTTCTTTAAAAATTAAGACTTGAAAAAAGTTCACACAAAAACAACATAAAACAAGAAGTCAGATTTTACCATATTTTGAAACATACATTAGATATTGGAGGACAATAAACAAAATATATAAGCAAAACCCACCAAAGAGTATATGAAGGAACGGCGCTCCCTAAATTGATTCCTTCAAGTGCATTTAGTCAATCTTGCTCACCGCTACAAAATAAGGATTTTTCTTGAGGAATACTTCAGTAAGAATAGCATTGGAATGTAAAGAAGCCTTTAGCAATTCCACACTGTTAAAAGTGTATACAATCAACATTACAACAAAGAACCCGTCAAATGTAGCGAGAATTCTGAAAATTTTGTGGCCACAACTGGTCCATGCCCACATCAACCTTCTCTTCAAGCACCCCTATATCTTTGATATTGAACTTGTTGATCATGGTGGTACTTGAAATGGTAGACATTGGTCTCACCTCTAGATCATCCATGATCATATAGGTCACCACACCTTTCACATAACCTTCTTCAGTTGAGCAAGAATTCTTATTTGGTGGATCACAAACATACTTTAGTTCCCTGTCCATTGATGTTCC